TTTGTAAAACACAGATTCATGTAATAGTAAGATTCACATATAACGTATTACTTCTCTCGCAAAAAGGGTGTTAGAAAAAAAACTAGAACTTTGGTCTAACTCAAACAATGTTTTTGTTATTTTGTTATTTTTTGTTAATTTTCATAATTTTTATTCATTTGAACTTTGGAACCAGAACGCTAAATAGCATTTCTTTAAATACAATTAAAAATAATGACTAAAATTTCCCAGTTTTTTAGAATTACGACAATTTGTTTAATTATGAACTTAATAAAGTTTTAAAAATTTGTCGACTTTGAAAGGCCTTTATTTAAAAAAAAAATCACCAAAGTGCCTTGAAAAGTAACATTAAAAATTGGCCATCAGGATTGTAAAATAGTTTTCCACGGCTTTTCGCCAATTCTGTTCATAATGTATTATTTTTTATATTAAAATAAAAATATATAAATTTTCTTAAAAAAAAATTGTAAACACAGATTATGTAATGAGAAAAATTTGCATAAAAAAAGTATTACTTCATAAATAATTTGTTAGAGAAAAAACTAAAATTTTGGTCTAGCTTTCTAACAATTTTTTGGTCATTGCAGTTAATTTCATATAATATTATGATTTATTCCATTCAAATGACATTTTTAGAATCATATATAACGGCACAATTGCTCCAAGTTTTCTACAATTTAGACAATTTGTTAAATTATGATTTTAATAAAATTCCAAAAGTTGCAGACTTGAAATGCCCTTCTTTGAAAAAATTTTACAAAAATGCTTTGGCAAGAGTTAATAAAAATTGACACATGTAATTAAATCAGTCTTGTACAGTACCGTTACTTTCATTTAAAAAAAAAAAAAAATCATTATAAGTTCCATTCACGTGCGTTTGTATATTCAAAAATTGTTATTTGGTATTTAATTTAAAAATACTTTTGTCAGATGAATGTATCTTCTCTTGCAAATTTTTACCAAAACTTCGTTCTTGAAGTATATCCATTCAAAACCCATATAACATAATTTTTTTCATAATATCAAACATATTTATATTACACAATTTGTCAAATTTATGCAAACACCTCTTTTAAAATTCACCAAAATCTGAACTGTTTGTTTCCGAACTTAAAAACGATGCAAAACATTCTACTTCATCAAGAATAAAACTAAATATAGATATCTTGTTATCCACTTCTACCAAATCTAATTTTTATTATCAAACAAAAAAAAAAAAATATTTTCTTACCGTTCCTCATGGAATAATCCAAATCTCCTTAAGTTCCATCCAGTCGACTTCCTGGTCTTCACCAGCAAGACGAAGGAAAACTGGTACACACCTGTCATCAGGTCTGGGCTGGTCAGGTGTTGGTTCAGGTTGAGGAACCACGATCTGATGTTTTGGGAAAAAATTGAAGAAAAATTAGTATTTGTGGTGATGAAAGCAGAGACAAAAAACAGAACACAGAAAACAAAATAGTTAAAAACACATCTGAAAATTATTAGGTTGTCAAATATCTCCCTTCCCTTTTTTGTATGGTTTATAATACATATATTTGACAACCTATTTTTTTGGACTGTGGAGTAATAGGTCAACTACTATGTACATCAGAATGAAATTTTGATGAATTTTGAAGGAAGATTAATGAAAATTATTAGACAAAGTACTAAAGTATTAGAATTTACAAGTTGGCTAAGATTGGAAATTGATTGCTAAAAATGTCAATTCACTTGAAATTTGAATTTAGCTGAAATTATGAGCCTAGATAATATCAGAATATAATATACATAAAAATGTAATGTCTACATTATTATTGCTGAAAGCAGCTGAGATGTGCCAGAAATTAAAATAATATTGATACAGTCAACTGTATATGTTTGGCAGATGAAATTATATAATTCAGTTTAATAAATAACGCAATAAGTCCAAATTACTTACATATATTTTTTTAAACTTATGCATGTCGCATTTTGGTTTACTTTACTAAATTATTTTACAATACAAAATAGATCTACTTATGACTTGAAAATTTTTCTGATTTTTTTGATCTCAAAATTTTAGGTTTTGTTCAAAATAATTTAGTTTCCAAGTATATAAATCTACCCAAAATAAATCTGTATACAAAAAAATAATATTAAGAGCAATTTATAAATATCAATAATTATTATCAATTAGTAAATTTTTAACACAACACCGGTTATCAAATTTTTGTTAATTTTCAAATAGGTAATTTAGTATTAATTTTATTAAATATAAACCGAGACCAGGATTATTCTGTTAAGTACTTATATAATAATTAGTTCATATAACATTAATACGCAACTTTTAATTTTTTTTTTAATTAATGTGTTGTTGAAACAATTTTTTATAACAAGTAAATACATACATAGTGTTAATTTTTAATTCTCTGAATACAATTTTATAAAATCCACTTAAATGATTAATTTATAATAAATTTAAAAGTTCACTTTTTAATTGTTAAGAAATATTTGTTCAACATAACACACATGGGCTTGATCGAGGTAAAATCTTACATACTTATTTATAAGACATTATGTAAAAATTTTCTTGAAATATAAAATATTTGTCAATAGAATAAACATATGAAAAATCTCAATTTAAATTTAACACAAGGATAATTGACTTATCCTTGTTTATTATGAAAACTGAACCTTGTACTACTCTATATACATTTACACAGAATCTTGCAATATCTTTTTAATTTTTTTTTAAATTTTCAGGAATATAATGTCTTATAAATAAGTCGTTTTTTTATTTTTTACTTACTTTATTAATACCACCATTATAGTTATCTCCAGTCGCCTAAAAATTATAATGTGAATATAATGTGATACAAGCGGACAGATACATGCCAGAAATCGTTCGCATAGTGACATTACATAACAGGGAACATAGATTTTGATCAAGGAAAAATATATAAACCACGTCAAAAAAGTTGCTTTAAAATCAATAATTAATAGTAAATGCATTGCAACCCAAAGATATTCCATAGATTTTTTTTTTTGAAATCTACAACTGTACAGTAGAAAAGCTAGAAAATTTAGGAAAAAACTAACAATTTTGCAACGAATGCAACACTTTATGATAATTAATAACCGTTTATGAAATATTTCAATCACCTCTAAAAAGACTTCCTAAATCGTCTAAAAGATGACTTCCTATAATGTACAGTAGTACACTACTAATATTTAATAAAAATAATTTAAGTTTCAATTTCAAAGCTCCAAAGCTCTCAAATGAGTCAAAATTAGAGTAATAAATTTCAATTAATTTAAAATTAAAACGTTTTCTTGTACCCTTGATCAAAATGTATGTTCCTTGTTAGCAATTAAAAGAAAATGTTAAAGTAAAATTATATTTTATGCATACCATAAATAATGGTTAAAGTTAGTCTTTGTTTTGGCCATGATAAAAATGTTTTTTGATAATAAAGTAAAAGACAAAATTTTATTTTAAAAGTCAACGTTATGGATAAAATTTCCCATAAATTGAAGATGACTAATGTGGTACGATAATAAAATTTAAATATTTTTCAAAAAATCGTAGATCAACTTCTAAATAACAAAATAATTGAAAATCAATGAAACTTCACCATATAATTATTTTTTCGTTATTTGAAACAAAAACTATTTTTTTTATGTAAAAAACTGAATAAATGTTTTGAAATTTTCCAAAAATCTAAGATGACTAATGTAGTACGATAATAAAATTAAATATTTTTCAGAAAATCGTAGATCAACTTCTAAATAACAAATTATTACTTTTCAATGAAACTTTACCATATAATTATTTTTTTTCGTTATTGAAACAAACTATATTATTTTTATGTAAGAAAGCTATTTATAAAAATGAATTTAATATGAGTGTGAAAGTTGACCTATAATGATATATATTTGACCAATAATTCCAAATGAAACCTGAAAATTAAAGCCAATTAGTAATTTTGATATTAATCTGCATATATTTTTTGTTGTATTTTTCTTGTTTTAAGTGTTTCTGTTTTCAAAAATATATTTCGCAAAATGTCTTTTTCAAAATAAAAATAGGAACATCGACTGCACTACTATACCACCTTCAGCATTCCAAAAATAAAAAATCTACGAAGCAAAAATTTCTCAAAAAATATACGTAGCGCAAAAATAAAAATCTCGACAAATAAAAAAAATATTTTGTTTAATTTCTAAACTATCTACTATTTTATATACTAAAGTTTCTACTACCGTTTCTGCTATTTTAAATATTATTAAATATTGTCATATGTTTCTGGCTAAATGTTAACATTGTGATAGGTTTTTAGTCCAGAATTTTTTAATTAAATATTTAGAATAAAAATGTATAATAAATATTAATATTAAATATATATTAACTTGGATTTGCAAATCGAACAAATTTAAACAAATTAGTTTTGTGCCTAGAATTAAAATAAAGTCTAAAATAAATTTTTGTGAATAGTTTTACTCCGATAATTTCAAATTTTCTGAACTGAAAATATATTTTCGAAAAAGAATCTAGACGAGAAAAATCATTTTTTAAAAATTAAATTTGAAAAAATCTGGATTGTAAAATGTATTTTGCAAAAAAAAACATGTGTACTTCAGAAAATTTAGAAAATTTCAATTTAGTCATTATAATTTGGACCAAAAACAAAAGTTTAAAAAAAAATTCTGGACTACAAAACAAAATCGTAAGAGATTTCGTTGTATTAATGTGAAGAATTATTTTTTATACTAAATTTCTAGTAGCATTTGTGTATTTGGTGTTCAGTATCAATTTAGCAGCAATTTGTGTATTCGTGTGGTTTTTAGTTGTAAGAACCATTGATACGACCAAGTGCAGTTAATATGATATATAGATATGTCTAAAAGTTTGAGAAATACTGATGAAAAACTCACCCTGTCGTCGATTTCGCCGACGCCGACTTCCTCGTCATTTTCCCTGAAAGAAAAAAATCACATTTAAATAATATAGATGAAAAACAATTAGTAAAAATTGGAGTCAAAATCACACAAAATTAACGTAAGATCAGAAATTTACTTATTGAATATTATAATATTTTGAAATTGATCTGAATTTTAACACTCTTATAGCTGTGAAAAAAATTGTTCATAATTACTAACTATAATTAAAATATAATTTACGTAATTCTTAACCAAAAAAAGGAGCCATTTGATAGTTCTACAAATGTAGATCTCTACATGACTAACTCTATTGTTGATAAATTTACTATATATTTTTAAATCTACATTAAACTTTTCATTTATATTCCTTTAAAAATGTTCAAATTTATGTACGGTCCATTTAAATTTCTAGAAAGTTTAAAATAAAACATGACCTAAAAAATGTTGACAAACACAGATTTACTTTAATCGTCTTTAATCCAGATAGAAATGTAGAATATCTACATCCAACAACAAATTAAAGGAATAGATATTTATCATTGGCAACTTTGATAGATTTTTTCTCTTTCATCGATCTTAAACCATACTTTTATCATTTTTAATATATGGTTCTAATAAAAAGAATACTAACAGATAAAAGATTTATGTTTTAAAACTACATACCAGCATACATAATATATGCTACAAAATACTAACCTTTTTCAGAACGTTCCCGAAAATCTAATAATGTTAAATTTAATTTTAGCATGACATACGAAAAACATTAAGCACTAATAGCTGTTAAATTAATTTCATAGCCATGACTAAATTTTTTATGAAGCAATTTCATTAAACATAAATTATTATATATATATATATATATATATATATATATATATATATCCATTAATTTTACGTACTCCATGTGATTTTTGTTCTCAGAGAATACTCTCAACAAAAATTCTCCTTCCTCGTTTGGTTCGAAAGTTGAAGGCACAATGCAGTAAGTACCAGGTGGTAATTTGAAACGGCAGGAAACCTGGGAAAACATTATAAAAAATTAATTTAGATTTAATTTTGCTTTTAGAAAAAATACTATGAGGTTATTTTATTCAAGTCCCAAGTTTGTATCTTACATCCATCAATATTTTTGTTATAAAAAACACTTATCAAGAGATTTAATTTAATTTTAGTAATGTTGTTCTGCTATATTTCACAGTCGCTTTATTTATGGTTTTGAAACAGCAAACAATTCTCATCTACGTGGCTTCTCTGAAAGGCCACCCAATGGCTGTCCAAACCTTATTTGATAAAACTATCAAATTATTACAATTTCCAGATAGTAATGATATTTTTAATTTGATTTAGCAATGTCTGTATAAGCTATTGTCTAGCAAAAATAGATATCACTACTGTTTAATATCAGGTTGCCTAATGAGGAAATGAGTAGTTTTTTTTGACGTTTGTTAAAATAAAAATTAGACAATTTACTTGGTATAATGATAGAGTACTTGGTCTTAATAAACGTACTAAACCATTAAAGTCTTACGGAAACTGGTTCAATTATAAGAATTATTGATTTTTAAAATTTGCTTTTAGAAAATACTCCTAGTTAACGTGTACGTTTGTTTTCAATTATGTGTGATAAATTCACTCGAAATACTTTTAATCACTCATAAATTAATTTATTTCTTATTGATTAAGTTGATTATTTACATATATCGGGAAGTTCATGCAACTTGCCTCAAAGCAAAATACCAATACCAACTAGTTTATTGATTATTTTTACTTACTTCTCTTAAATTAATAAATGACTGCGATCTAGCTACTGAAGCATTGTATTTGAAGAAGTTGATGTCCAACGGCCTTGGCATACGGTTGGGATCTCTCAACTACCAAAAACATACAAAATATTACTAAAAACCTATGATAAATAATCGCCAATTATCAATAATCATACATGATAGACTGCAAATCCAATTGTCAAACATTCCATTCCCAAATTCCTTCTGGACCTCCTATTTTTCTGCATAAGAGCTATAATGACTGTACATTTGCCTTCTTCGTCCTCCTCGTCAGGCTCTTCGAGAGTGATTGTGTATTGTGGATTGTGCCAGAAAGTATCTGAAAAAAAAAAATTAGAATTATATTTTGTTGATTAACGAATTTATTCTACAACGTACCTAAATAATTTCTGCATCCACCAGCTGTGACTCCACGTACCCATTCGCCTTCAAATGTGGATGTCTCCCACTTTTTCTTGCCTTGGCTCAACTATAAAGACACCAAAACGTTTGTCTTATATATAAAAATGGAGCTCTCAAACAAATGATTCGGTAAAACTCGAAAACGGCTAAACCGATTTGGCCAGTCTTATTCTTGAAAAATTCGTGCTAATCAGTAGGTTGTCGGAAAGGTGAGATATTATCTCAAAATCGCGTAGAAACTTTACATTTTTAATCTGAACATTTTTGTAGAAGCGTAATTTGAATAAAACAATGAACGGTGGCTAATACGTCAAATGTCAAACGTTTTGAACAGATGATGTTCAATTATGTTTAATAGGATGTTTTATGTGAATATTATTTAATTATGATTAAATTGTAATAGGTACTTTTGTTCGAAGTTATATTTATACACAAAAACGTTATTGAATGGATCGCAAGTGTTACTAGGAACTCAAAATATCAAATTTTTTGAAATGTTAATGTGAAAATGCACTTTTTGGCATATTTTTCTCAAACACGATGCTCTGAAAGATCTCATTTGTATAATTATATACTCATTGGTACTTATAAAGCATTTTCTAGTTATTTTTTATTTATGTTGTTTGAATTCAGAATCTAAATTTGGTATCGATCAAAGGGACATTTTGTCGAACAACATTTTCCAAGTTATAATTTCCCAGAATTTATCGAAGAATATATAGAAATATATGAAAGTCCAGGGTTAAAAAGATCCACCACCGATGGGTCAAAAACGAGTAAAGTAAAGTATTGTTTAACAACAATAATTGAAAGTAGAGGGAAAAAGATGTATAACCAGCTATAACCTTGATTCTTATGACTTTGCTATCGGGAGATATACAGTTATTATTTGAAAATCCATAATAAAAGTATTTTCTTCCGTTGGTAGTTTTTTTAGCATTAATTAAAAATGTAATTACTTTGTAAAATACCTTTAAAATTAAAATAAGACATTAAACCTGTTTGCCATCTGGCCGTTCCAAGTTACTCCGCGCCTATAGGATAAAAATGACTAGATAAATTTTTGAAAGACGGAAAAAAGCACTTTTCCACAAAGATGAAGTAGCTGGCAGTTTTATTGAACGTAGTCAGATAATTGTTCGTTTGAAATGTGTTATTTGTTGTGATATAATTGGTTTGATTTTTATAATATAATTAATATTTGCTCAAAGTCAAATTGAACCTTTGTGCTTCGCCCTGCTCTACATATATACTTTTTATTAAATTTACTTTAATTCATCGAATGTTACTTGAAACATTTCAAAAAGCAGGCCAAAGAAGAAATACTTGATTTATTTTCTATCTCTCCTTGCAGAAATTTGAAAATTTTTTATAAACTCAGTAGTATTATTTTCAATTATATAGAAATCCAGAATCCAAAAAGAATCTGAAAAACTTGAAACGTAATCAATAAGTCGAAAGACCAAAAAAGACTTGGATTGGATTATACCATGTTTTCTATAAAAAGTGTATAAAACTTCCAGTTTGATTGTATTGACAAAATATAGAGAAACTAGTGGGGTTTATTGTTTTTATAATACTTCATTGTATATAGCATTAAACAATAAATCCTTATACACTTGAAGTATTAATATTTTTTATTCTCTAGAAATTGCTTAGAATATACCTCACTTAGCAAAACAACGTTTGCCGAGTCAGCTAGTAAATAACATTTGTTGGACTAAATTTGCTCTAGTAATACCTTTTCCTCGCTGAGAGAATCAGGGCTCAAGTTGCACATCTCTATTCTATCAAATCTTGATGAGAAGTCCCTGAAGGACATCCAGAACTCACCATCCATATCAAATGTTAAACCGATTTCTTCTTTTACATGGGGTGGAATAAAACGCCATTCAGGAGACCTGAAATAATAAAAGATTATGAGATTCAACAACTTGCAATCAATGGTCAATTGTCTTTTTCTACTTACTGGTCACTCCAAGCTCCAGTCCATTCAGCTTCATTACCCCAAGGATTTCTCAATCTCAACAAAGGAATTTTTCCGGTAGAATTTGGAGTTTCAATGTCTACAAAATGGACTCTGGTCACAGAATAAGCGTGACCCTTAATTAGACCTTCTGAGGTCTCTGCTTCTAGTACGTTTGGATCAGGCTACCAGAAAAAAATAGATAATTTTACACAACTTCAAGATACAGATGAAAATTTTTTATTAGAGTTGATTATGTGTACATGTGAGAAAATCGAAAATGAAAATGTCTTCAAAAATAGATTTTCTTGGTTGACTTCTTACCTCGATGCTGCATCCCATCAACGAATTTCTCTCATAGGCTTTTAGCAAAATTTTGAACAAATTTGGAGGAGCTTCGTTCAACTCGTACATTTCAGTAACACCTCCTGTGAAATCTTCCATGGCTTCACAAGTTGAACCTCCTTTTAGAGCTTCATATGAACCATGCAATCTATAAAAAAGAAGATTAGTAATAAAATAGTAAGAATAGGTTTTTGAATGACTATTAATTCTTACTTGGCGTAAGCTTTTTCGAGCAAGGCGCTCCAAAATTCATTTTTCTCGGTGGAGTGCAAGAATACTAATTCGCCTCTGTAAGTAGGCAGTCTGTCGTCTATGACGACATCGATCCATCGTCCATACTGCCAAAATCTGGAAAGAAAAACAATATATTTTGAAATTTTTTTGAAGAAAAATGAACCAGGTTTAGATGATTCTTTTTACTCCAAACTACAGGTAAGCTATTCTATAGGTTATATAAAAAACTGTTGAATGCAATTGAAAAATAACAATAAACTTTATAAAAAAATTAAACTATTGGAGCGCATGGCATCGTGCTTTAAGGCAAATTGCTGGAACTTCCCGTACCGTAATTAATCACTCGAAAATAAAAATAATCAGACAATAATTGCGGTGACGCGCCAACCAACTGAGCTATAACGACATGCTCGCGCACAACGCGTGAATTTCTGCAATTTTTGCTCTGTATCTTCGAAACGGTTGGACCTGCCTATACAAAATCAGTACGTCTCTACATCAATACGAATCGAATGTTTTTAGAAACATTCAAACCGGCCGATTTGTTTTCTCAGAACCTGTCATTTTTTGCATTTTTTGCTCCGTATCTTTGAAACGGCTAGGCCTGCCTCCGCCAAAAACTGATCAGTACGTCCCCTTATCAATAGAAATCGAATGTTTTTTGAATTACTCAAATCGGTTGATCGGGAACACCGTCGACGAAAATTTGTATCCACACACATACACACACACATACATCTATTTTTTAAAGGTATGCCAAAGTATTCTTTGAAACGTAAAGATATATAAAAATTTTCATTTTTGATTTTTTGCGATACTATAACTTACCATAAGAAAAGTTAATAACGTCTATTTAAAAATTGTATCCAGATATCGTAAACTAAACAACAGTGCTCAATACCCAAAAAACTTATGACAAAAAATACTTTCGATATTGACAAAAAATACGCGATATTGACCGATTAAAGGCGATGACTGATTACACATCTTTTGACCCCTACTTTAAAATAACATGCATTACTGAGATAATAAAAATAATCTGGATATAATAAAAATTATATCTAGAATAAAAATCCAAACATTTGCAAAAAAATAAAAAAATTGTCAATTTTTCTCGTAACTAAAAATACACGTAATGTTTGGTGGGGGAGGAGGGTAATATTGATTATCACCACGTATCACCAAGGGGGAGGAGGGGTCCAAAAATTCTTGAAAAATCGATCATGTGATTAATGGACGTCCCTTTGTGTATTGTATTTTTTAACGATACTATGTATTTTAAAGTAAGAACCTTACTTGTTTTCAAGATAATGATGATGATCATTTTCCCGATGGCATTATCGACTTACCTAAAATGAAATATACCAGCATACTGGTCAGTAAAGCCTTGATCATCAGGTACAATACGGAAGAACAATTTGGAGTCCAGAGTCAAATTGGCAACAGCAGCCAGGAGCCAACAATCTCCCAGTTCTCCTTGTTGGACGTCGAAACGGGAATAACCTTCCACAAATAGTTGAGGATCATCAGTAAACTCCTGGATAATCAAAAACAAATATATATTATTTATGATTAATCCAATAATAAATATAAATCTGTACATAATCCTTTACAAGAATATGACTTGGCAATTGCACAAATTGTAATAAGTTAATGATATCCAAATTTGAATAGTTGGTAACCAGAGTGGACCATCCCACAAATCAGGCAAAACTAGAGAACCAAAAAAATTAATACTTTAAGTGTATTTTAAGTGACAAGTTTAATGTCTTATTTTAATTTTAAAGGTATTTTACAAAATAATTACACTTTTAACTAATGCTAAAAAACTACCAACGGAAGAAAATACTTTTATTGTGGATTTTCAAAGATTACCGTTTATCTCCTGATAGCAAAGTCATAAGAATCAAGGTTATAGCTGGTTATACATCTTTTTCCCTTTACTTTCAAATATTATTGTTAAACAATGCTTAACTTTACTGGTTTTCGACACATAGGTGGTGGACATTTTTAACCCCAAACCTTCCGATATTACTATCTATTCTTCGATAAATTCTGGGAAATTATAACTGCGAAAATGTTATTCGACAAAATGTTCCTTTGATCGATACCAAATTTAGGTTGTGAATTTAAATAACATAAATGAAAAATAATATAATCTAGAAAATGTTTTATAAATACCAATGAGTATATAATTATACAAATGAGATCTTTCATAGCACCGTGTTTGAGAAAAATATGATTTGCAAAAAAAAAGTGCTACAACGCCAAAACATTTAAAAAAAGTTGATATTTTGAGTTTCTAGTAACACTTGCGATCCGTTTAATAACGTGTTTGTGTATAAATAAAACTACAAACAAAACTACTTACTGCAATTTAATCATAATTAAATAATATTCACGTAAAACATCCCATTAAACGTAATTGAACATCATCTGTGAAAAACTTTTAACATTTGACGTATTAGCCACCGTCAATTGTTTTATTCAAATTACGCTTCTACAAAAATTTTCAAATTAAAGATGTGAAGTTTCTACGCGATTTTGAAACAATATCTCACCTCTCCGACAACCTACTGATTAGCACAAATTTTTCAAGACTAAGACTGGCCAAATCGGTTTAGCCGTTTTCTAGTTTTAGCGGATCATTTTATCGAGAGCTCTATTTTTATAGATAAGATGTAAAAATCAAGTAAAGTTATGTAAATATAAATAGTAAGTAGTAGACCAAATTAATTGGACATAACATAAAAACATTAAAAAAATAGCAACGTATATTTGGGATGGTCAACTCTGGTCACCAATTCTCCATTTGTAATTTACTTTCTCGTCAATTTTTTGGATTTTTTATTACCATTGGTCGGAGCCATTGGAAATGTCTATCAGGTCGTTTGGAGAAGTACAGGGACGAATCTTCTGCTGGAAAATCGGGGTCCTCGAATAAAGTTCCACTGTTGAGACATTGTTCACGCAATTTGTAGAAATCCTGGACATCTCTTGCACGGGAACCAGAAGCTTTTTCACCCAACTGGAAAAAAAAATTGGAAAAATTAATTTTAATTGATTAAATATTATACATTTCCAGGAAATTTCGATTTCACCATTGACTGCTCAGGTAACCCTGGTTGAGCTTTCAATTATTTTTATATGAAGTTTGTTCAAATGTTCATGTACTTTTTATACCTATTATAGTCATTGTACAGACAATATTATTTAGTTTAACAAGATTTTTTTTTATTATGTTTTGTCAACGGAGAAGGCTGCAATCACTGCAGCAGTGGAGGACCTTTTTTCTTTGGCGCCGCCGGAGATTGCGTGTCATTTCAAAAATATTTAATATTTTATTTCAAAAATTTTTCTGTGTATTCTCAAGACATGTATAAATATACCCGTAAATCTTTTAAATAAATAAAGACTTTTAAATAAATCCATTCACTAATTTCTATTATTTTTTAATTCCCATAAATGACATTTTTTTTAGGTTGTCACACTAGGTATGTCCTTTAATGTAACAAAATACACTTTCAATAATAGGATTATTTTTATAATTTTTACCATATAAATACCATATAAATAACTCTGCCATCGTGAGTTTTCTGTACTTTTTCACATCTAATTAAAGGCTTCCAAATTTTAGCCTCAACAATTTCTTCTTCTTCAGGTACAGTTTCAGAATAATCATACAAAATATTTTTAATATTATCTCTGGATTTATAATTATTGTTATTTATACTTTTAATAATATCACTGCGGCCGAAACGACAATTTAAATTACGTTTTTGCAAATTTAAAACTCTAACAGATAAAATTTCAATTTTTTTTGGAACTTGTTGACGATTGTGGACTTCGTGAACTCCAAAAAACATTTTGATAAAATAAATAAATTATGGTTAAAAGGTATATTTTATTCTAAATAACTTAAACTAATATAATAATGTAAAGATAACGAATGTGATTCATATATGAATCTTTGTTAAGATTTTTATTATTAATTATTTTTTTCTTTCACAGAAAACTTCAACACTATTTTTTTTAAGACAATATTGACAATTAATAATATTTTTTAACCTTGTGGCAACACAAGAATTTTATGAACTTTAAAATAAACTTTTCACAAAGAATTTAATTTTTAAAAATTAAATTTTATATATAACTAAATATAGATTTTTTATACAAAAGTAAAAGTCGTACTGATTTTTATGATGAACTCATATTTTTCACAAGTCTGTCATATCACATATCAGCAAAAAAATAAACCAAATCTAAATATTTTTTTAAATTGCACCATAAAAGCTTTTGATGATAAAATATAACATTTTACGACAGATTTGGGTTCAAATTTTGAAATAATCTTATAGATAACTCTAACAATATATAAGAACAAATAACAAAGTTAATAAAAACCAATGGATGGAGTATTTAATAAAAAAAAAAAATATATTAAAAATCACAAGCAACTTGTATATCAATCATATTTATGAAATTTATCTGTATATTTAATTTTTAAAACTAAAATTTAAATTTGAAATGGTTATAAAAATAATAATACATTCTATATTAGATCCAGTTAGGTCAATTGTTTTTAGTAGTAAGTATTATATATTAATTTTAAAATATGTATTTGCAATTTTTGGATTTATACAAATAATTATGTAAATAGGCAAAAAAATGATAAAAATAATAAAAGTAAAAATAAATTAATAACTAAAATATTAGGTAATGAAATGAACACATACCAAACTAAAAAAACAGAAAAATTTAATTTATTTATTTAAATTATTTTATAATCTTTTTCATGATTTAAATATTAATACATTATCAATAATAATATTAATACTAAAAGAGAAAAATTATCATTAGTGTTGAAAAGCATTTATCAAAAATAAACTCATCACAAAAGGGGAGTGATGTGGCAGCACAAATTGGTAGTACAAAAATAAAATGAGACATTTACGAATTTGTAAAACAATCAGAGATTTTAATACAATTTAATATTTTTCTATTATAATAAAAACACATGATTTTACAATACAAGATTAAAAAAAATTGCAATTCCTTAAAAAAAAAACATTTTCAAGTTTGAGGAAATTTCAAAATCATTTGAAAAAAAATTAAAATTCTGGTTTAATTATTACAAAAGTATTTATCAAAAATAAACTTATCACAAAAGGGGAGTGATGTGGCAACACAAATTGGCAGTAGAAAAACAATATAAGACATTTTCCAATTTGTAAAACAATCACAGATTTTAATACAATTTTATATTTTTCTATTATAATAAAAACACAGTTTTAGAACACAAAGTTTCAGAAGAATTTTTCGAAATTCCTTTACTTAAGAAATCATTTTCAAGTTTGAGGAAATATTAAAACCTCCAAAAAAAAAAATGAAAATTCTGGATTAATTATTACAAACCAATGAAAGGTGCTATATATTTTTATTAGTAACTAAGATTTTGAATTGTTATTAAATGCTGAAAATTACTTTGTATTAGAGAAATATATAAATAAATTAGTTCTAAGGTAAAAGATTTTTCAAAAAGTTTCATTATTTGAAAAATCATATTCCATAAAACTACACAAAAAAATAGTTTTAAAAATATTATATACCATAAATATAATCCTGCCATCATAAGTTTTCATTAATTTCCTACTTTTAGTCCTTAGAGGAATCCAAACAGTTTTATTTGCAGTCAGTTCATTTTTATCACAATCATTACTAGACTTTTTGTAATTATTTTTAAAATTTTCACTACTAAATTTATTATCAAAATTTTGCTGATTATTAAATTTTTGTTGTTGAAATATTTTGTTACTAACATTTTGTTTAAAGTGTATTTTAGGATGAACTTTCATTGATCGAAACAGAGGTCTTGAAATTTCAAATTGGACACATGGTATATGAATTCTTTCCATTAAAAAAATATTCATATAAAATTTTGAATGAGAGTTTATAATTTTTATAATTAACATAAACGAATTTAGATTTTAATATTTATTTAAACAAAGAGTTTGAATTACTTTAAAAGCTAAAGATTAATTTATAGATTTATTTGTAACTATTTATTAAAAGCAACGAATTATTTGGAATAAATCATGATTATTTGGTTTAAATTAATATTTTTTTATTAAATTTTGTATGAGCAGAGTAATTAAAAATAACTATGAAAAAATTATTTAAGTTCTTGTATATTATTTTACTTCACAAATGCTACTACCAATAAGCATTAATGTAATGAGAACTTTTTGAAAAAATAGGAAAAATTGTTCAATTACATTCGTATGCAATGAAAAGTAATTGAGTAAATTATAAATAGTAATCACATTAATGCATAGACATGTATAAGTTTATGTATGGTATGATAAAATAGTGAGGGAGCTTAGAACAAAATAATTCATAAAAAAGCATAAAAAGGTAACGTATTAGAAAAACAATTGTATAACTGAAAAGCGTTTTTATTTATTGTTTATAATTATTACTTTTATTTTTGATTTTATTATAATTGTTTTCATAATTTAATTTACAGAGAAACTCATTAATAAAGAGATGTGCAATTTCTGAAAAAATATAAATGTAAACAAGTATGTTTATAGCCAAACACAAAATAATAACAAGTATGTTGAAATTTTATTTTACAATTTATGAACAACAGTAGAAAATATTATTTATGGACAACAATTAGTGCCCTATAGAAATAAATAAAATAAGTCGATAGTAATAAAACATATTGCTTTAGTAAAATTTTAGCAATGAAGACTATTATTATATCTGTTAATTTAATAGTTTTCATTTATTGTAATTTCAATGCGTTTGTGAAAGGTACTATAATTAAAATATAATGTTTAAACAAAAGTTTTGATATAAACTTAATATTAAATTTATTATTTAGCTGAAAATTATGAAATGGTTTTAATTGATGCACGATGCTCATATGATACAGAATGTGGAACAAAATGTGGTCGTCTGAATTATGAAAATTATAAAGGAGAGTGTGTTCAGGATCCAAAAGATTTTTTGTCACGTCGGTGTAAATGTAATATCATTTATATATTATTATTATATTATTATATTATATACGAGGTCTGTTCAAAAAGTACCCGGAATTTTCGTTTTTTCAAAAAAATATTTATTTATTCGTCTACATTAATGTGGTCCCCTTCAAAGTAGTCCCCCCCAGATATAATACACTTATGCCAGCGTTTTTTCCAATTTTCGAAGCACCCTTGATATTCACTTTTTGATATGTCCTTGAGCACTCTCAGCGCTTTTCTTCAATCGAGGAAAACCGCCGTCCTTTCATGGGTCTCTTCAACTTTGGGAATAGGAAAAAGTCACACGGAGCCATTTCTGGTGATTTTTTCCCCTTTGCAACACTTTATTTCATTTTTTACGCAAAATTTAATACAAATTCTTTGACTTTTCAATTCTTCCATTGTAAAAATCGCCGAGCTCAGAAAAACACGTCGAACCTTAGCGACTACCACAGACAAAGTAAACAGTGAATATAGCTGAAAATTTCATCATACTTTAGGGGCATGTATACCAACACAATAAAAAAAAAATTTTGACAATCAGACACTCCAGACCCGCGAAATTTAATTATTAGTAATTCCGGGTACTTTTTGAACACACCTCGTATATATATATATATTAGGGTGGTCCTTAATATGGACATTGTCGAATTTTTTTGTCCCAAGGGCTCAAATGGTTCCAAATTGATAAAAAACAATTCTCTGAAAGTTTTAGCTCTTAATATTAACTTTTAGATAGTGCACAATTCAATCAAACTTTGTATGGAAATACTATGGAAAAAATTTTGAAAATTAATTTTTCTTCATGTATAACTTAGCGACAAATGAATTCAAAGTGAAAATTCATCATTTTTTATTGAAAATTCGACACTCTGCAAAATTCTTGAAAATTTTTTCATGCTATTTTCATACAAAACTTTGAATGAATTGCGCTCTATCTAAAAGACAATATTAGAGCTAAATAATAGAGCTAAAACTTTCAGAAAATTGTTTTTTATCAATTTGGAACCATTTGAGCCCTTGGTAGCAAGGCAATTCGAAAATGTCCATATTAAGGACCACCCTAATATATATAAGGGCGGGTCGATTCAAAGGTCACTAAGGCACATATGATTTTCGGATTTTAGGGATCCAGACCCAAGTATAAGGGTTAAATTTTGAATTGAATTTTTCGAATTTTAACCCTTATTTTTGGGTCAATATCGGTGCTTCAGAATTCATGTTAGAGGTATGTTTTTTTCAGCAAAGTATCTTATTAAAGATAGTATTCAAAGTATGATTAAAAATATTAATTTCTCAATATTTTTATTATTGACGAACATGATAAAAAAAATTCATGCAATTTTCGATGTTGGAACTAATTTTTATTAATTTATTATTATTAATAATCGCCTTGAAAAAAATAAATACATTTATAAAGAAAAAAACCCAACGAAACAAAATCGAGAAATGTAGACTTTAAAATATTTGCTGAATCTTGTTTCATTTATTTAAGCTCTTTTACTATTAACAAATGTAGATCTTCCTATTTACTTCTTAATACTTATAATAATTTAATTCAGATTTGTAAATCAAATTTAACTCTTAAACAAATGTTTCCATTTTATTTTTATTTCTTGTTTTTGACCCTCAGGGCAGTTGTCAATCTTAGTTTAAATCTTTGGACAGCTTTTTCAATTACTTGATTCACCTACTAGATCACCCATACATGACTTTTTGATTTTAAATGTGAAAGAAACTGAAAACTGTGAAGAAGTGTTTTTGTTTTATTAGATTTCATGTCTTTTCGCCTAAAAATTAATTTTCACATTATAATATTATTCAGGTCTACCGAAAAAACCATTGACTACAGTAAGATTGAAAAAATCATGTTCATACAAGAGTGAATGCCAAAAAATCTGCAAAAATCTTGGATATTCAGCAGAAGGTGCGCAATGCTCTAACTTTGACAACTTTACAAGAACTTGTGAATGTAAGATTTCATAAAATATTAAAATATCAACAATCAGCCATAATAAATGCAAATAGTTTAATGAAAATTAAAAATTAATAATTGGTCAATATTTTCCACAGGCCCATATACGAAGAAGTAATACCAATATTTGATAACATTCTAATAATGTAACAATTGAGAAATAAAGAAATTTCAGACACCAAAGTTTTAAATTAAAAATTCGTTTTATTGTGCAAGTTTTTAGAAATTTTTAAAGTTTTATCAATATTAGAGACTCAATTTGTTATACATATACTTATAGAACGTACATTTTTCAGTAACTTCAATTTTTTTTACAAAGTTTTGAAGTAAAACTTCTTGAGGCGCGACTAGGGTGTAACTCCGTACAAATGCAACGGAAATAGCGTTACGTCCGAACTGTACGTCATTCGCTTTCGATGAAATCATTTCTGTACGGGACGATTGTGATTGGTCGTCGATGTATGCGTACCGATATCGACAAGGAAATCGGCATTGATAAATAAACATGTTAAAGTTACATAGTAGTACAAATCTTGATTTAATAAAAAATGCCTGAATCAGAAGAATCTTATTCTGCTCCTTGGAAATAATAAAACAAATTAAACATTTGTGCTGTGTACTAAACCAAACGTAAGTTTATTAATTAGAAATTATTTCTATATTATTCGTAGTTTCTATAAATCTTCGGAGTTAATAAAATGAAAAATATTTTTAGGCAAGACAGATGTTCAAAGAATGAGATTATATGATGGTCAGCCAAAAAATAAAAAAAAATACAAGCAGTCAATGAATGTATGTTAATTTTAATTACATGAAGTTCTTCAAACACAATTATTGCATGATGAGTGAAATTGTGAAAACAATATTTGTTTTGGCGTTGGTTTACATAATCCACTGTGTGAACGAATTATGTATTATTTACTTTACTTAAATTTTGGTATTTTTACTAAAATAAATTAATGAATTTCGTAATACATGTTTTGAACAGTGCAAAAAAAATTTCTTCTATTTATTGCACAATTTCATAATATCATATTTCAATACTTAGTTTTTTATTTGATAAATAATTATTAAATAAATAAATAATCGAAAATCAAAAACATATATAAAAAGTATTACATATTTTGAACAATTTCAATACCATTTGCATCATATCATAGTTATTTATATTTAACATCCAAAATGCGAAACGTTTTTTGGCTCAGTTTTGTGATATTATTATCAAGTCTCATAGATGGATTATATGCCAATTATGGTAGTGTTTAATCCTTATTTTAATAAAAAATGATATATCTAATATTGTTTTTTTTTTTTAAAGGAAGAGTTCAAATTGAAGATTACACATGTTCAAGCCATAAAGATTGTGAAACAAAATGCGAAGAAAGTGGTCTTTTAAAAGATAATGCTTGGTGCTTTTCGAAAAATAAGCATTGTATATGTAAGTTTGAGAATAATATATATTTTTCAAATTTTATTGCTCTCAGGGGCTTAAATGTCTACAAGTATAACACTTAAAAACTTGATTTTCTAAAATATGAATGAATTTTAATTCTACTTCTAAAGCAAGTAATTTCATCACTACATATGAAGCAAAAAATGTAGATCTCAAGAGATTTGCAGAATCTGGTTTTATTAAAATTTATCTTATCTGAATAAACGTAGATTTTCTTTTTGAAAATTGATGCAAGCTTTTTTTGAACTGGTTTTTATTGTTGATTTCAATTTTCATTAGTTACTAATTAATTGAACATTCGATGAATGAAAATAATCAATACTTGTTTCGAATAATTTCAAATAGATTATTACATACTGCAAACTTATAAGTGCTCTTTAAATTGGGCGACGAGCGTATTTTATAAACAACTTATGTGTACGATACAAAAGTTCATTTTTTTAAATTTGATTTTTTTGATAATTTAGAAATTTTTTGATAATCTTGAATTTTTTTCAAAATTTTGAAATTTTTTGGAATTTGAAAGAAACATTTCTTCTAAATAATTTTAGAATTTTAAAATTTTAGAAAAGATTTGATTTTTTTTTGAATTTTCGAAATATTCTCAAATTTTTGTAAGGAATAATTTTTTTTTCAAATTTTTCAAAATTTAGTTTTATTTTATTTAACGTCTACTCAAGCAAAAAGTTTTTTGAATTAATCTAATCGGATAATCCGTTCTCTCAAAAACTGCATAACCGTTTTTACACCCTTTGCGCTCCATACCTCCCAAACGGCAAAACTGCCTTTTGCAAAAACGCTTCGCGATCGAGCACGAACCGAATGATTTCTCAATTTTATAAATCGGTTAATCCATACTGTCGAGAATGTCGAGTACATTTGTTCGATCCATATAAATAAACTTCAAAATTAAAAATCTTGGTACGGAACCCAAAAAAAATTACACTTCTCTATAAAAACTGGTTTAAATTAACAAATCTCTATGAAATATCTGATAATTTGATGTACATATGTCCAATGAACATTTTTGACCGCCAAATGGCACTTTTTTAACTTATTTTTATTGAGAGTGTATAAACGCTGGACCTGCTTTCCCAAAAATTTAATCAGTTCTTCATCTTGTCAATACATGTAAAATGTTTTTTGAATTATTCAAATCGTACTCTTCGTTCTCTCAAAAACTGAGTTATCGTTTTGGGTACTTTTTGCCCCATATCTTCGGAACGGCTAGACCTGCCTCGGCCAAAAACTAATCAGCACGTCTCCTTATCAATACGAATCGAATGTTTTTTGAATTATTCAAATCGGTTGATAGGTGTTCCCGAAAATGTCGACGAAAATTTTGATATATAAAAATTTTCATTTTCGATTTTTTTGCGATTACTACGGGAAGTTAAGTTCCTTATCGTAGATTCTTATTGAATGTTGCAGAAATTTACTGTAAGTATATTTTTTAAAAGATAACTTAAATATTTAAACAAAAAGTCAGCATTGAGCACTAAAAATGTTAGTGCAAGATTTCATTTTTATTACTTTAGATATATTTACATTTAATAGATTACAATTAATTTTTAATTGAAAATTTGCTTTATTTTTTAAATACATACATTGATTTTTACATAAAGATACAAATTGTATATACCTATTCTGGGATTACAAATTAATAGATTACAAAGATAGACGATCTCAAAAGATTTTAATAAATTTTAGGTAGATATAAAATAATTGAAAAGCCGAAGAAAACAGAGTTGGTAATAATCGACAATATATGTATTTACGATACAGAATGTGTACATAAATGTCATTTTCTTGGATATTTTTTGAGAGGAGCCAAATGCGACTTTGACAACACTGGCATTAGTCCAAAGAAGTGCAAATGTAAGTGAATTAAAAAAAACTATGTTATTTTGTTGTCTTAACTAAAACACGCAAAAACAGAAACCAATTAGTGTAAAATACAAAGAAGTTTTTTCTTCGTCAGTTTTTGACTTTTTCTAAAAAAAGTAGTTTTTAAATGAAGACTTTTCGTTAGTTTTTACTTTTGACAATACTTTCAACTCGCTTTTTACTCCTTAAAGTCTAAAACTCCTGTTGAGCCTATTACTGTTGTTTAAAAAGTGGAATGCAAAAATTGCAAAAGTTCACAATATATTTACAAGAGAATGAACCAACACATTTGTAATTCGAAAAACCCAAATCAGTTTAAGACCATGTTTTCGGAACATGTCATTAGTTTAAACAAACTTTACTTTCAATAAAAATTGTATTATTTTACATAAAGTAAAGAATGTTGACCTCAGAAAATTTGCTGAATCGATATTTATCTTTTTAAATCTGCTTTGCGTTAATAAACGAAATTCTGCTCTGTTAGTACATGACTCTAATTATTATTATTTTTTTAAAATAATTCTTCAAATCTTTGTATTTTGTTTGTATATTGGATGGTCTAGTTTACAAAAGACCATCCAAAAATTGTAATTAGTAAATTAGTTAGGTTATATATCAAAATAGTCAAAAATAGTACTATTCATGATACTATTAAATATATAATATAAAAATTCTCCATCACATTTTAGGTCCCCGAGTAGAAAATAATCTGAGGGTTCAATTATATGAAAAATGCAGAGACATTCATAATTGTCAAAATGCATGTGATCGTCTTGGATATTCCAAGAACGAGACGAGATGTGAGTCTCACAAGAATGTTAAAAGATGCAAATGTTTGAAGAAACCTCAATTAAATGATGTACCAAATAAAAAAAAAAAACAGTTGTACCAAGAAATAAAATATTTTGCTGCTGAAGTTATAACTTTAATCTGATAATTTAGAGATTATAATGTGTCGAGGTAAATTATGCTCGTGTTATAAAATATATATACTATATTTTTTAAAATAAATGGTTTCTCAATATAAAATGTACAACCTCAATTTATTACAAATATTGAAAGGTGTATTACGAATATTGAAAAGGTAAGTAAGACATTTGGGAGAGATTATCTAGCTGTTTATTGAGACAAGATTGTATATGAATTGTTATTGTAATATTATTATGACAAATATTTATAGCCAATAATAAATATTCGTTACTAAAATTTCAGTGTTAATTTTTATTATTGTACATTATTTATTTATTTAATATGATCATTATAATAAATAGTTTTAAAAATTTAAGTAAATTAAGAAACTTATGTGTAAGTTATTATGTATTTTTTATGTATAAATATTTTTTCAGATATAATTTTAGAAAAATTGATTTTGAGTCAAATACACATACAATACATTCAATATAATACATACAATACAATTCAGAAAATTGTAAAACAGAGAAGTAAAAACTTAGATTCCTTCTAATGATGAGTAAAAAATATTGAGCCAAGGAAATTTTCAAATAAGTTTTTTTTCTAAATATTTAAATACCTGCTTAGGTATTTTTTTTTTTAAAAAAACAAGTATTATTTTGAATTTTTTCACTTAGCCAAGCATGTTTTTTTTTGGATTTTTGGTGCTTAAAAATCCATTTCTTACATTTATATTTACAAAACAACTTACATTTATTTTTACATCATTGTCCATTTTAATTTTTGCATCCTTGTTTTAGATTATCTATAAAATTAATGAAAAAAATGGAAAAAATTATATGGCTAATAAAAACATAATTTTCTAAATTATTGCAAAACATTCTAAATTATTTTTATTTATATTTATATTAATATTTATATTTATATTTCTATTCTACGGATTTCCTTGTAATTTCTCAAATTAATACGTTATTTAATAGTTATTATATTATATTAATTAGTTACGACATTGATAGCTTCACCATCCTCGAAATTCACTCTGGAGACATATTTTTTTGGCCAAAAATTTTTGGAAATAACCGATAGAACCAATGTTGCAAAGTGGCCCTTTGGCTATAAAATTGCCATAATTGACAAGATTAATATGAAACAATTATTTTGTATTTCCTACTTAATTTTACCGAAATCGATTACTTTTCACAGATTTTAAAACTGTATGTATAAACATAAGTTTTCGTTAGACAAAAAATATCATCACCAAGAAATCGTTTAAAAAAATCATAAATAGAACAACTAAAAAAACTAGGTTATTTCGCACTAAACAATAATGAACTTTAGTTTAATAGGTTTTAGAAAAAATCTATTTTCAGCTAGTTTATTCTATAGAAATTCTATAAATAATATAGCAAATTTCGAATTTTAGACAGTAAAAAATAAATGAATTGCAAAATACAGAGTGTAATGACTATAAATAATAATATATACAAGATCCTGAAAACACAAACGTACAAACGAAAATTCAGATTTATTTTACTTTTCATTCTATATATATACGAGTATATATGTTCGCGTTTATTATTTAAGTGAAAATATGAAATCGCCAAGAAAGTTTTAAAAAAGTATCAGTGAGACTACAATTATCTCCAAAATACTTATTATCAAAGTACCAAAAAAAATTTAATTTTATTTTAATAAAAAATTAACTAAGCTCTGGTTTTCTAGAAAAATTGCATTTCCATCTATTTTGTCTTAATTTTCTATCTGCTGCTATTATTATTTAGGCAAAACTTTGAATTTCTGAAGAAAACCTTCAAGCAAATCACTGTAAGACTAAAAAGTTTTAAGCAAAAAAATGTAATATGCTTTTGAAAAATAGTAGACAAAACTTTGTCTTCAAGTTTCTGAAAAATTCTATTTTCAAAAAACTTTTCCTTATCAATTCTATTTGCTGCGCATTTATTGTTTCATTAGGCGTGTGCAGTGATAAGGAACTTATATTTGATTTAGTACTTATCATATTTGCAATAGAAAATCCAATGACTAATATCCTGTCTGAATAGATACTAATTTAAACTATTTTCTATAGCAAAATCATGTCAGTTTACACCAAGACTAGCTCTGGAATAGACATTTTACTAAAAACTAGTTTTCAAGATTTGGAAGTTTCAATTTCCACGTCATCATATAAGTTGATTTGCTTTTGGCAAGGTGAGTCGAACATAATTTTACTGAAATCTATTAATTATTTTAAGAACAAGTTGTTTGGTATTGCTTTTTCACCATTATAATATTATTCCTTGCAATTTAATAGTATACGGAAATGTTCCTTTCACTAACAAACTGATTTAATCTTTGTGTTTACTTTGCCAAAATTGGACTGATTCGCGAAATTACTTAAAATTTGATCTTAATTTTCCGAAACTAAATAAAATATATTGATCAAATTTTGTCATTTAACAAAGAACTCATTCCATTGACAGTGCATAATTATTTTGGACTAAATACAGTATTATTTTATATATAAGATTAACCAAAACCACCATGAACAATATTTGGTACTTCGTCATCTTGGCAGTTCTCATGAACTTGGTGAATGGAGATTTTGATAGACCAGGTAATGTAAATTCCTGATACTTCTTTGATCATTAGCATAATAATATTAATTATTTAACTAAATTGTTATCGTTTGACAATAATTATAGTTCAAGATGATGTAATAGTCACTGATGTGGATTGCACTACAAATGAGGAATGCCAAAATTTATGCCAACAAGAAGAATATGAAGGATCTTCAGGACTTTGCTTTTCGAAAACCAACAAAAATGCATATGTAAGAGTTATCATTATATGTTTATTATCAAAATATCCAAGTCATTTTAAAAAAATCCCAATTGAACATTATTGGAAGTGATAGTCAACTTTTTCGTGACAACACGATTTTTTTAATAGCTAGAAGCACAATATAGTGTCTTTGTCCTAAACAATTTGTCACGAGAAAATTTGGTAGATTATTCACCATCAAATTTAAGAACAGCATTTTTCTTTTCAATTTGACGATTTTGGTAGAGAAGTCGTAACAATTTTCCATAACTCCGGGTTTTCTTTAAATAAAGTGATGATTTACAAGAAATGCCAACATGATGTTTTCTAAATTGTGTTTTTGTCCTAAACAATTTGTCACGAGAAAATTTGGTAGATGATTCATCATCAAATTTGGGAACAGCATTTTTCATTTCGATTTGACGATTTTGGCAAAAAGTCGTAACAATTTTGCATAACTCAAAGTTTTCTTTAAATGAAGTGATGATTTACAAGAAGTGCCAAAATGATGTTTTGTATATAGTGTCTTTGTTTTAAACGATTTGTCACGAGAAAATTTGGTAGATTATTCACCATCAAATTTAGGAACAGCAATTTCCTTTTCGATTTGACGATTTTGGCAGAAAAGTCGTAACAATTTTCCATGACTCAGAGTTTTCTTTAATTAAAGTGATAATTTGAAAAAAGTGCCAACTTGATGTTTTCTATATAGTGTTTTTGTCCTAAACACTTTGTCACGAGAAAATGTTGTACATTATTTACCATCAAATTTGGGAACAGCATTTTCCTTTTTAGTTTGACGATTTTGGCAAAAAAGTCGTAACAATTTTCATAAGTCAGAGTTTTCTTTAAATATCAATATTCAGATAATAGACGACAGGAAAAATCTACATCAGGAAAATCAAAACTGGATCAAATTGTTCTAGATTATTTCACATATTTGTTTAAAGATGTTCACAATTGTCAACAAGT